AACTACTAACTCGAGAACCAGAAAAGCTAGAAAGCTGAAATTTTAGGGGAATGTTTCCAGTCCAAACACAACTTAAATATTTCAAATTTAGCCTACAGCTATGTGTGATTCTCACGCACAGGCACTTAAAAGTTTGGGCAAGAAAAGTGCTCACTGAACAGCTACGTTATATTCAAAGAACTACCGCTAAATGGAAATCTTTCATTCCCCTTTTGCGAAATTTATGATGATTTACACTAGTGAGTGCAAAAGGTAAGTGTAAAGGAACAATCATTTATAAAGTTAACGACCAGAGTACTTCAAGTCCGGCGCAAGAACGCACGATCGCCCCGGCAAGCCTTGTGCCTTCCAGCCTGGGCTTGAATCGACCTTTACGCACGCATGAGTCTCGCTGGATGTTTTAAAAACGTATGCAATTTTTTTGGCGGAAAAAGAATTTCGGAAATCAGAGAAGATAGGAAATTGAAAGTTCACAGGGATATTTTGTGCCCCTATGTGCAAAAAATTTAAATCAGCTTACGCCTGCGTACACCATGCATACTGAACCTAAAAACTGTCATTCCGTAACAGCTAGAAAAATGCCAATCCGGAAACTAGGTTGCGTGAGTTCCTACGTCAGTATTTACTGTCGAATTTTACGACAACATTTATTGTTTCTCCCACAGTGTCCCAGCCAGAGCATCTCATTATGGTGTGGAAGTGGCGGCCGAGTAGGCAGTGTCTGGGCATGATGAGTACAACTATGGCAGCTACAAGCATGTCGAGAAGGCACTGCGCTGTCTGGCCACGCCTAGGTGGCACGAATCAGAGTCACCTCGACCAGCTGTTGGTAATGCAGCAAAAGTCAAGCAGCTGTGAAAGCACGCCAAACAAACGCATTATCAGCCCAACACGAATGAAGGAAAATAAAAATGGGCCCCAGTACCCACCACGCCTTCGGCCTGATTTACGATGGTGATTCGGCAGCCGGACGGAAAAGACCGTTGAGAATATCAGGTGTTGAACAGATACAGCCACAGAAAAGCCTCGATCTCTCGATATGCACTTAAAATTGTAGACTATCGAAGAATAAACTTACGACCATCTTCCTCCCGTCCCTCATCCCCTGGGAAATCGACAGAATACCGTACGATGCCCTCGGTGTGTGTGTGAAAGATGGCGAAGGACTAAACGCATCAAAACCTGAAGAAATGGAAAAACGGTTTTGCTTGGCACGAGGGGACGTTGGTGGAATTCGGTTTATCGCGAGCAGGCTGTGGAAATAAATGTCTGAGCACCTCAGTAACATAACTAGCTGGGCATACCCACACCATCCGCTCGAGCACTTTTGATATTTTTGGTTTTTACTTGTAGATGCCAAATGAGAATTCGCAAACGTCTGTATCACGCGTATTGCAAAAGGAAGAAGGATATTCAATGTGCTGATCAGAAATGAACTTTCAATTGTTTTTTTTGGATTTAAAAGTGTGCGGCGACGGCTCGGAGCTGCTACCGCTTCGACTGTCGCTTTTGCCCGGTAGCAGCATGGAGTTGCTGCCGGGTAATTTTGGGGATTGTGTTTTTTCTTTTGATTTGTTTCGTGGTTGCACTATTAATTATTGGCGACTCGCACTGGGCGGGTCCGTGCGATCATGCGTTTTTGCAGTGTTTCGTGCTGTAGTAAGATCACTCGAAATTCTGCTAACTAGAAACCTCTGACACACTGGTCCTCGAATTCTGGGAAGTTAATTGTCCACGCTATACTTGGACAGGGAATATTCCCTTGAAATCCCAGGTTCCCAGCTTTCTCAGTTCCCGAGTTACCCAAATTCCACCCAGAAAATTTCACGGGCCGTGCGTGGCAACCACGCATGACTGGGGAATGCTTTCGATAAACTTAAGTAGTAGATGAGCTAGGAAGATTCCCTGAAAGTTTCTGCCTCCCAGCTTCCCTGGTTTCGAAGTTAGTCATTTTCTCGCCAAAAATTTTCACGAGGTAGTACGTGGCAACCGCGCATAACGGGAGGGCGGGAGG